AAATAATTTAAAAAAAAAGAAAACAGAACATGGAAGGCCAGACTAATAGAATTTTTAAAAGGTACTTATAATCCGACTATTCTAATTCAAGGATTTTCCATAGTTGAATGTCATTGTAAGTTCTTGCCCATCTGTGTTGACAGATAGAAGATAGATAGAATCACAATTGTGTATATACATATATACAGTCAGATATTCATAACAATGGTCATTATAGAGTGTATTTTTCAATTTAAGTTTGCTCATCACTGTTATTTATTTATTTATTTTAATTTAAGCAGAGAGATACACAGAAAGAGAGAGAGGGAAACTGAGAAAGCAAACTGCCAGGTCCAGGACTTGAACCATGATCAGCTATGTGAGAGTCCAGCACTCCAACCACTACACCATCTGCCAGCCCCTATAGTGTGTATTTTGATAAAGTCTTTAATACTATTACTGAAAGAACACTGTAAAAGATTTTTAATTTTAGCTGGATTTTAAAAGTTTACAAGTTTTGGGTACCAGCAGGTGGTGTGGTGGTTAAGCCACTGGACACTCCCATTTGGGCAACCACGGTTCAAGTCCCAGACCTGGTGGCTTGCTTTCTCACTTTCTCTCTCTCTTTCTGTCTCTCTCTTTATGTGTTTCACTCTGGTCAAATTAAAATAAAATAAATGAATGAATAAATAAAATTAAATAAATAATTCTTTAAAAAAGTTTACAAGTTTCTTTGAGAACTCTATATTGTTTTACAGAAATACGATTTTTTTTTCTATTACTTCAGTTTTACAATTTTACTGTACTCATTCTTTGGAAATTCTTTTTTTATACAGCAGTCCCTCCTTATCTGTGGGGGATATATTCCAAGACCTTCAGTAGATGCCTGGAACCACAGATAGTACCAAACCCTATATATATATTTTTTCCTATACATATATACCCATGAAAAAGTTTAATTTATAACTTAGGCACAGTAAGAGATCAACAACAATTTTAAAAATAGAAAAATTAATAGCTACTATCAACCTGAAGGAAGGCATGTCATACCTGCTCTCAGTGGAAAGCTTTAAAAAGTTCTTAGTAACTCATTTCTTCAGTGTCAAAGATTTGTATTTGTTTGCTTCCATAGTACTAATCCATTGAACTCGATTCTACCCTGAGTTCAGGAGAACACCATCTGGGTAACTTGGGTTGTACAAGGGAAGTGATAAGTGAAGACCCGTCCTATACTCCTCCTTCTGTATGGAGAGGTAGAGGATTGAAGAACAGAAAGCATGAAGGAAAATTCTAATATCGAGGATTGAATTCATCTTCTAGATGTCAAAGAAATGTCCACTCAGAATGAAAGGAGAGAGATTGAAAGTTAGGTTTTCCCTTTCCCACTAACAGCTTTGACAGTGGTGCTCAACAGCCTCTTAACCTCTAACTAGATCACTGCAATTAATTGATAGATCACATATAATCATATATCACATATAATCAAATGGTGTCTCAGACTAAACTAGAATTTTTTCCCATCTGTGCATTTTTAAGAACATTTATTAGTGTATATGAATTTTTTCCTCATTTTTGACTCATAAACCTGTTTTTTTTTGAAGAGGTTTTTGCTATAGGGCATGTGGGCTCGCCAGACAGACAGAGAGAGACAGAGAGACAAAAAAAACAAGAAACCCCCCCCAAGGGGGGATGGCCATGCCACAATCCCTTCTCCTCCATTCTCCTCTCGGGATCTTGGGCACACACGCACACGCACCCGGCATGAGTTTTAACCCACCGGGTCCGGGACGCAAACCGCGATCGACTACATGGGAGTCCAGTGACATAGCCATTACGCTAACTGCTAGTCCCACTCATAAACCTGGGTTTTAAGCTTACCTAAAATTGTTAGGTTTAAAACAATATTTTGCGTAAGTCACTGTTATTTGGGTTTCTATTATATGTAGGTAAATTTTAAGTCTTATGCATGCAACAATTCTTGGTCCCTGAATAGATTCTAATTTCTTTTTTCATTTACCAGAGGTTGCATGCACTCACTGGAGAGAATGAGGGAGAGAATGAGAGAGAGAACTCACCCCTCCCCCCCATGGAGCATGGTCACACTGCAACCCCTTCTCCATTTCTCCCTCTTTTTGGGATTTTGGGCATGGACACATGTGCCTGGAGTGCTTTTCCAAGCTGCCAGATCTGGACTGGTACTACATGGTTAGCTATGTGGAATCTAGCTATTTTAACCTCCAGAACATTAGATGGCCCCAAATTGTTACCTTTTAAATGTGACTAGCACAGTACCAAGATTGTCATTCTCACAGGAACATTTTCACTACATAGAACATTATAATTTTGTTTCTTATTTCTAAATTTATTATCAAGACCAAGCTAGTGTCTGGTTGGAAGACTTTAAGAAGAGCTAACTAACCATATCCTCCCTAACTTACCCTCCATGCTTAATTTGCATGTATTCCAAGTACTTTCTGTTCCTTCATTTTCTTTACTAGTTGTTTATTCTCACATATGGGGCATGCTTCAAAAGATATCTAAACCACACAGATTTTATGATTCTAGCCATCACCTTCTCCACAGCACACAACTGTTTCCCCTGATTATATTTGTTGTTTCATTGGTTAAAGGTTTATTGTCAAGTGACAACTTGGATGACAAGTGCAATGGTATTCAATGTTCTCAAACAGGAAAATGACATAAAAGCTTCTAGATATGAGCAGCTGAAAGAACACAATAAATTGTCATGCACTGAGAAGTTTGTGAAGTCCTGTAGCTGAGCCTGCGGACCTGCAAGAATTGTCTACTAAAGAGGGGCTTCCTTCAGGTAATAGAATATTTTTGCTGGAGGTAAAATATGACTTTTATGGGGGCTGGTAGGTGGCATGGCGGTGGAGGGTGTTGGACTCCCACATGGCCGACTGTGGTTCAAGTCCTGGACCTGGTGGCTTGCTTTCTCACTTTCCTTCTCTCTCTCTTTCTCTGTCCTTCTCTGGTCAAATTAAAAATAAGTAAATAAATTAATTTAATTTAATAACTATTAAAAAATACGCCATGTATGAGGAGACTTTAAGAAGTTCAAGGAAAATAGAATTGTAGTATGAATTCATTTTGGTGCAAAAAATGTTCAAATCTATTCATAGTTTTCCCATAATATGCATTTCATGAATTCTTTGACATCACCCTTATATGCTTATCATTCCTGTGTTATAAAGTCTAACTTGATTATTAATTGACTGAGCAAAAATGTCTATTTCTTGGAATACTATAACACGTAGGTCTTGCTACATCCTATAAAACCAATTACAGTGTACATCACATTATGCCAGTGCTATAATTAACTCTATGTTAAAATGCCTAGATAGTCACATGATGGTATGTATCACGCTACAACATTCTTCTGGTCAAGGATATGACTAGATAGACAAAATTTTAAATTAATACTTAATAGTTGCAGAGAAGAATATGCACTTTACACATAAAGAAATACTAACTAGGAAGAGTATCCCTAAGACTGACTAACAGATGTCCATGTAAATTTACAACCATACTAGGTACAATCCAAGCATGTAAAAAACTTTACGTAATAACAGATGCTACTTCCAGGTTGTTTTTTTTAAACCTTAAGTGCTGGAATTCAATCAATATATTTTCCCAAAGTTGTGTTATCATAAGGTCAACTCTTTAAATAGGATAAATAGCTTAAGAGAACTTTAATCTTTTTCCAATGTTGTAAATATTTTACTACAAAGTGATATATTCTTTATATGTCTTTCCTATTTGTTTTTAAGGCTAGTCCAACTGTAATGGCATAATAACCACTTAAGTTGCTTCCCCTTGTGGCTCATCTTTTATTAAGTTAATTTTTTAAGAGAGATTTTTGCTATAGGGTGCATGTGCTCACCCAAGAGACAGAAAGTGACAGAGAGACAGAAAACAAGAAATCACCCCCCTAGTGGGGATGGCCATACCACAATCCCTTTTCCTCCATTCTCCTCTTGGGATTTGGGGCACACACACATACACACACACACCAATGCCCAGCATGAGTTTTAAACCACCAGGTCCAGGACTTGAATTGCAGACAACTGACTACAGAGTACTCCAGCGACATAACCATTATGCCATCTGCTGATCCCATCAAATTGCTCTTTTGAAACACTACTCTTTGTATCCTGCATCCCATTTATCCATGCCTTCTGTGTGATGTTCATTCATTCATTTAGGCTTACTTTTGTTTGCCTAAAATTGATCATTGAACATATAGTCATTAAGCACCTGCTATGTACCAGGCATTGTTCTAGAGCTACTCTTTACCACTCTATTATAGTTTCTCTTTTTAGTTTAACTTCCTCCAAATTTTTGTCTTGATTATTTATTTATTTATTTACTTTAGGCTTTTTGTCTTAGTGTGCATGTGTTCACCAGAGAAAGAGAGAGAAAGTAAGAAATCACCCCTCCTCCCACAGGGAGGATGGCCACTCTGCAGTTCCTTCCCCTCCCAATGCCTACTGCAAATATTGTTTATATATATATTCCCAGGTTGGTTTAGAAATCACATTTCAATGTGTGTATCATTTCCTTCAGGTATGCTAAAACTGTTTTGGAATTAGATACAAGTAGCAGTTGTACCACATTGTGAATGCCACTGAACTTTAAAATAGTTCATTTTATGTTATGTGACATATACCATAATAATTTTGTCATATTTCCATATTTTTATCCATGCACATAAATTGTAAGCTCCCCATATGCTACCCAGGAGTCTAGGGAGTAGCTTAATGTAATCTCAGTGCATCTGCCTCATGCCATTACTAACTCAAGCTTCTCAATCTTCTCAAATGTGAAGTGCATGATTAGTTC